CACGGTGGGACACGGTGTGACACGGAGGGACATGGTGTGGCACGGTGTGACACGGTGTGACACGGAGGGACAAGGTGTGACACGGTGTGACACGGTGTGACAAGGTGTGACACGGAGGGACATGGTGTGACACGGAGGGACACGGTGTGACACGGTGTGACACGGTGTGACAAGGTGTGACACGGAGGGACATGGTGTGACACGGAGGGACACGGTGTGACACGGTGTGACACGGTGTGACAAGGTGTGACACGGAGGGACATGGTGTGACACGGAGGGACACGGTGTGACACGGTGTGACACGGTGTGACAAGGTGTGACACGGAGGGACATGGTGTGACACGGAGGGACACGGTGTGACACGGTGTGACACGAAGGGACATGGTGTGACACGGTGTGATACGGAGGCGCACGGTGCGCTGCGCGGCACGCGCCGCAGGGGCGGGGCCCGCAGCCGCCGCAGGGGCGGGGCCAGGCCGCGCCTCCCCGCGCTGCGCGCAGGCGCGCTGCGGGCCCGCGCATCGGTAAACGGCGGAGCGGCGCGGGGACGGCGGGGTGCGGCGGTGGCGGAGGAGCAGCCGCCGTGAGGGGACTCCCAATGTCCGCCCTTCCCGCCCTGTCCCGTGTCCTCACCTGACGTTCGCGTGGCTGTAGCCGATCTTGGCGTTGTAGGCGCCGTTATCCAGCACCAGCGTCGCCATGTTCCCCACGGCGCCACGGCCGCCGCCGTCCCAGTATTGATCCGCCACCGCCGTGGATCTCTACGCTGACCATAGAGCGGAGGAGCAGCGCGCGCGTGGCCCGGCGGGACGCGGGAGTGCCGGCTGCGCTCCGCCTCTGCCGCGGCGCGCGCGCCCTGCCGGTGACGCTGGCGCGGCTGCGGGAACCATTGGCCGGGCGTGACCCGGCAGCGCTCGTCACACGGGTGGGCGTGGAGGTGACGCGGCGTCACCGCGGACAGCGAGCGGGCCGGCAGACGCTTCCCCGGCCGCCGCCAGCCCCGCGGGGGCGGCGCCGGAGGATGTTAGGGCGAGAGCCCGGTGTGGCGGTGGTTTAAAGTTACAGGCTCTGGGGATACCGCGCCTCGGGAGAAAGGTGATGAGTGAAATCGCATTGACAAGCGCGCGGCAACACGGGCTTGGGCCGTGGAAGAATGTGACACAATGGAAAGGGAGACAACTCTAAATTCCATCATCATTATTTTACTGTTACAGAATCAATTAGGTTGGAAAATACTTGAGATCATGGAGTTCAACCCATGACTGATCACGATGTAAACTAGACCATGGCTGTAATTGCCGTCCCCGGCCTTTCCTTAAACACCTTCAGGGATGTGATTCCACCACCTCGCTGGGCAGTCCATTCCAATGTCTAATCACCCTTTTTGTGAAACAACAACAACAGCAAGTTCTTCCTGATATACAACCTAAACCTCCGTTGATGCGGTTTAAGACTGTCCTCTCATTCTGTGCCTGGTTGTCTGGGAGAAGAGACCAACCCCCAGCTGGCTACAACCTGCCTTCATGCAGAAAGTTTATCAAAGCATGCATAATTAACACTTTCATTATTAATATTGTGGAAAATGGTGCTATTGGAATTCTCTGTTCCTGACCAGCTTTTGTTTTACTGAAGTCTGTGTAATGTAGAACACACCATTATAGAAACACAGAACCATAGAACAGCACCTGGAAGAGTGCTGAAAGATCATTTGGTCCAACCTTGCATAGTAAAGGGAACCATGATGAGATAATCTAACACCTGTCCAACACCATCTTGAAAACCTGCAATGGGAGCTCCCTGAGGAGAGGTTTTTGCAGTGATAGGTTGTTCTCACTGCAAAAGTTCCCTATATTAAGATGAAAGCTCTCCTCATACAACTTAATAACCCTTGTTGCCCTTTATCTTCTTGTGAAGAGAGAGCCTCCATCATTGTAGCCCCTCTTTAAGTACCACGATACTGTGATAAGATCTCCCTAAGCTTCTCCAGGCAGAAAAAGTCCTTCAGTCTTTCTTCAGGGTGTGTTCTTGAGCTTTTGATCATCTTTATGGCCTTAATTTGGATGCTCTCCAGCTGTCCACAAATTGTTTTGTAATTGCTGGGAGCAGAACTGGACACAATACTCCAGGTGTGGCCTGAAATGCACCAAGCAGGGTGTGATGAGCAAGTTTCTGTCCCTGCTAGCAACCCTGTGGATGCAACCAAGGATCTGCTTTACACTCCTTGCTGCAGTGGTGCACTGCTAAGTCCAGTTCAGCCTGATGTCCATCCAAACCCCCAGGCCCTCTTCCACAAGGCTATTTCTCTGCCATACAGGTCTGAGCTTGCCCTGGGCTCTGTGGGTATGTCATCTCAGGTGCAGCACCTTGCACTTGTGTTGATGATGAATTTTGCTCTATTTATACGTTTTACTTACCATCAGTAGTTCCTTTGTTGTATTCCAGTAAAACAGAAAGAGCATTACAGTTTTGTATTTGTGTGTAATTGACATTCTTTAACTTAAAAATAACTGTTACTCTGTATGATGACTCTTTGTCCTAACGAATATAAAATATCTGTCTGTGAGCCAGGATGTTCATTGGAACACATGGCAATCTGCTTTTAGACAAATCCTCTTTATGTGCTTCTAAAGGAAGTGTATCTTAAGGACAGCTTCCTTAATCCTGACTCTAGCAGATACATTATTTGATTCTTGAGAAGAGGTCACAGGAATGATCAAAAGCCTGTTTTTCAAGTTAAGGAGCTCCTGGGTGCTTTTCAAAGAACACTAGGTTGTTCTTCTTTGCCCACTGGCAGGCATACTCATAGAAATTTTGGGTTTGTAATTAAAATCCAAAATACACAAAACATAGAACAGTAACAAATTATTTAGGTATTCAGTGTTAAAGAGAAACATAAAATACTGCTCTTAAAATTGCATATCTTTTACTTCATCATTTTACTAATATAAAGTTCTTAGAATAATTTTTTAGATTCAAAAAGTCCTAATATCTATTGCTAACCTTTGCCTTGTGAAAATAAAAGTGAAAACCAGAATTTAGTAAATTACTTTTCCCCCTCTAAATACTAGCTCCAACTCTGTGAAGCTTCATCTGTTATCATCCAATGACTTGTGCTTGATTTAGCTTTTTTCTTTTTTCTTTTTTTTTTAGGATGTAGGACAAGTTCCAGGCTTTTAAGAGTCCACTTAGATTTATGTGAAGTGGTTGATATACATAAATATTTCAAATCTCTTTGAACTAAAGTTGGTATATTTACTGTCACTCCTACTTGAGGGCAATTCATACATATTTAATGAGATTGTTTACACATTCACTCATATATTCCAGTGGCACTTCCGATCATACTTTCTGTTGTTGTTAGAGTATGTAACACAGACAAAGTCAGCCACACAGCAAGGACACATAAATAGGACGTTTGAAAGTCCATGTGGTGGCAAACCTTGTACATTGCCCCGTACAATAGTGAGAATTGATATTTTCTGATGCTCTTTGAATAATGGTCTGTCAGAGTACTTAAGCCTTGCACATCTGCATTTGAAGACAAACCATAATCTTTTGCATTATCTATAAGAAGGCATGCCAGATTTCTCATTCTGCAAGTATGATACAAAGCACTCACTGAAACTTAGCTCAAATTTAGTTTGTTCTCTTACTACATCTCCTGCTACTTTATTTAATGGGAAAAACAACTTTATTTATTTTTTTTTAATTCTGTGACCTTCATGTTTTTGAAGTTGCTTGTGCTCCAGTTGGTTGTTTTTTTCCTCTCAAAACTCCATTCCAGTTTTTACAGTTAAGAAATCCCCATGAACATATGAAACTGTGAGAGATTCAAACGCAATCTGCACACCCTCTACAAAGCACAGGTGCTTTTTGGCTCCAGTCTGTGGGAATGAACAGCCTCAGTGTTCATTCAAGTTCACCATTCAGTGT